ATAGCTCTCAAGCAAACAAAAAGAAATAAAGACTAAATTGCCCTCGGGGCCCCAACATGACTCAACTTAACATAAGGGTACAATAGGAAAACATAAAAATAAAATGCATGAACAACTAAAAATATAAGCTCTGAATCGTGGCCATCGATCGGCGATGCTTCCGGCGATACACATGTTTGAACCTTGGATCGATGTCCTCATCAGCATTAGCATGGTCAGTATTATTCATGGGTATTTTTGGCTTTTGGTATTTATGCTAATTAGTAATGAGTTGTAAATGACCATAAAATCTGAAATGACTCTCGAAACTAAGGCTTCATTTGGGACGGCTTTCTTACTGCTTCTTAAAACAGCTTTTTAGTACAAATCTTTTTATTTTTTTAAGTAGAAAGCTGCTTTAAGAAGCAATAAAAAAGCCATCCCAAACAAAGCCTAAATTTTGTTCATATGTGAATATGTTAGTTTTTTCATTAGTGGAACTAGAAAAATCAATTTATGGACGTAGAAAGTTTAAATCAAACTCAAAACATTTGTAAATATATAGCAAAATGGCCCATTTCCAAGTCCCACGGACCCTCTTGATCAAGGAAATCAATCAAAGAATCCTATACTACTCATAAATGAAAAAAAGCATTCCATTATAAGGACCACAGAGTCATACAAGCATGCTTTGAATAAAAAATTCATGCCAAGATACTTCGATAAAAAGGATAGGGGAGGGGAAAGCATGGATAGCAGGAGACATGATTAAACTATTAAACTTCACCTTATGTAAATATCATTTAGCATTTAGAATTCAATTTCCAAATTTTCACCCTTCCACAACAAAGAATTTAGTACCAGTTTCGTTATTCTATTCAATAGCGATTTCTGTTCCTTTGTGCACTGAACTATCGATAGAAACCTAATCAATTCATATAAAACAAAAAACAAGAACAAAACAGAATACAACGAATCAAATTAATTCGATGGAGAAGACCATACCTTCTCGGGCCAAAGGTGGCCTGAGGGATAGAAACATAGGCGCGGAGTGGGTTGAGAGCATCGGGGGAGGTAGAGGAGGAAGAAGACGGAAAGGTATCTTTTAGTAGCCATTTGGAGGCGGTGGAGAGAGATGGCTCAGCGACCTCTGTGGTCTTGACCTTTATGGGGATGGAATGGCGGAGGATTTCAGGGAGAACATTCGCGGGTTCTTTGATGACTGCGGCGGAGCTGTTGGTGCTCGATTCGCCCGACCTGGAGGGGGGAAGCTTCTCGGCTAGGCGACCGGCTGCGAGCTTCGATTCCTGTAGGAAGAAAGATCCCTCCTTCGCGGCCAATCTCCCAGCCAAAAAGCTCATCGTTTTCTCCCTGGGGTTACCGTAGACGTAACATAAAATTTATGCATTTATACACAAAATATTACCATTTTTGTATTTATTTATATATCATTTTAATGATTAAATTTATAAGTTACATTAATAATGTTTTTTATATAATTTAAAATTTTAAGTAAATATTAAATTTAAGTACTTATATTTCATAAAAAATCAGCTTGATTAGACATGAATCTTGATGCATATTTGAATTTGAAATTTTCAAAAAATTAAATTGGGGACCATGCAAACTCTAATTTTAGTAAACTTACAGTCAAATTGAATGTTTTAAGGAGACAAATTCAATGGCATCCAAATATATTCAATTCGAGCCCATATGGGCCTAAATAGAAAGACTGAAGCATATTTGAAAATTTTAAACAATTAAGTAGATGATCAAATGATATCCAAAATATGACATGATTATAATCAAATCGAGCGACTCGATGAGACAAATCCAATAAGTCCAAAATTGTTTAATTATGATATCATTAATGCACTTAAATAATTCATGAACACTACATAATTGAGTGAATCAATATGGGTCGTCTAATGGAGCACTCCAAATTTGCTCCTAATATCTATATATATTTATAATGCATGTTACTCTTAAAATCTATAATAGCCCTACTCACCCTGCATAAGGGAGACTTTGGAGGAGGCTTGGACTATGAGCTAGAGACTCAAGAGAGCTTTGAGGCTTGAAGAATACTTGAGCTCCACTCAGGCGGCAACGTTAGTGAACCCTCACCGTCTATCACCTGCTGTTGGACCTCTGCCCGACCATCACCAACGAACCTTTGTCCGGAAGCCACCACTAGGCCTCTACCCGACCTTCATTTCCCACTAACTGCAGTTCTTCCAACCTCTATCTCTCACCAACTACGATCCTCAAACCATCATCGCCCGATTACATTCTCTCTTACCTTTATTGCCCAACAATGGTCCATTCAACCTTTATAGCCCGACTTCGATCGCGCTGACCATAGTCGTTCATCGGCTACAGTCTCGACGACCACTATCACATGGCAACGGTCCCTCTGACCTTTGTCACATGTTGACTACAATCTCTCCCACCTATGTTGCTCGACAATAGTCCTTACGACCTCAGTCACCAAACTACGGTTCCTATGACCACTATCGCCTGCCAAATATGTGTAATGCCCAAAGATCTAAAGATGAATTTACTCTAATTCCTTAACATTTTAAGCTAATCATTCACAAATACAAATACACCATAGCCACTAATCATTAAGATCATATATACATAAAAAACATCCATAGTGTGTAAAACATAAATTTTATTTCCAAAATAATTGTATACAATAATCTAGATTTCAAATATGATCAATAAAATGTAAACATAACTTGGACTTTCAAAAGCATAGGTACCTGCTGAGCCGGCTCTCTTGCTTCCTATTGAATTGAATCTACTCAATGGTATCTTTACCTTTGCCTAGAATGGTATAAGCAATAAAGTGAGTCTGCAACTTAGTAGGTTGACCTCATTTCTCATCATAGAATTCAATTCATAATACTAAAAATAACTTTAAAATAAAATTGTATAAAGATTGTTTAACTCAAAACTAGAGGGCACCAATGTACTTATGAATGCAAAATGCACAAACATTGATGCCCCTTTTAACTCTCAATCTTCCACCTCTCACATGTGCAGCATAGGTGCAGAGCAAAGCACATCCCACCTGTTTAAGATATGTGTAGAAATCAAAATCTATATAGAACAAAGTTTGTTTCCAATAAAGAACTAATACACTGCCAAAATAGAGTGCTCTAATATAGAGCATTTCCACCTTGGGCCAACAAATTCAAAACCCCATGTCATGAAATGAAAGATAATGCAAATGTGATAAATGATGCACGTTTTGAAGAAAACCACATCAATTATTCACTTGTATAGTAAAAGCCTCACTTTTTAGTTGTCAATACAAAGAGTTAAAAACTTTACCAAATTTACATAACTTATATAAAATAATGAACTAACATACTTTCTTAGTTGTATTGCTAATCAAAATTATCACCATTTCCCATAATCATCAAAAATCAATACAAAATAAACCAACTGGTGAAAACTTGCATTCTTATAGTCAAATTTTCAAGAACAAAAAATTAAGTAATATATGAAAAGTTAGATAGTAAAACCTTCGTAGAACTTAAGAAAAACACTTTAAAAAGTTTAAAAAAAAAATCATTTTTCTTTCCTGAATTGAAAATAAAAATGGGGTATGTGTTACTTACCTTAAGCCTGACAATTTTTCAATTTTTCTAACTGGTCGGACAAACAAATATCAAATTTCAGACCTCAAACTCTAGGTTTCTCCTTCTACTTTCTTCATCTTCCCCCTTTCTTCTTCGGCAAGCTGTAGGAACGAATGCAACGGTGGAGCCATAAATTCTTATTAGTGGGGGCAAAATTTCATGATTTTTAAATTACTCTTAATAAATTTTGGGTGATTTTTTGACTTACTATTTATTAGTTCATATTAAAGTAATATTTGTATATTTAAAAATAATAATATTTATTTTCAATAATTTATTAAATTCTATATTTATTAGTTGTATTATATATATATATAGGTAGGGATTACATTGGATTTAAATATAGTCCAACTTGTAGATTTAGTGGAAGGCCCTTGTAGTCCAATAGACAAGCGAGCTCTCAAAAACTCAGAGATTTGAGTTTCAACCATAGGGAAACCTTTTGCTTTTAAATTGTTAACCATTATGAGCATTTATTCCTCTATTGTTTTTAAATCATAGAAACTACATTTTTCCATCGACTACAGTTCCTCCGACCTTCGTCACCTGCTGATAAAGATCCATCTGACCTCTATCGCCCAATAATAGTCCCCACAATCTCAGTCCCCCAACTATGGTTCTTCTAACCAGTGTCCCTTGCCAACTATGATCCCTTGAACCTCCACAATGATCCCCTCAAACCTCCATCAACTAATGATTATGGGCCCTTCGACCTCCATTGCTTGTTGACTATAGTTCCTCTGACCTTCATCGTCCTACTATAGTCTCTATGATTTCTATCACCTGCAAACTATGGTCCCTATGACCTCTGTCGTCCTACAATGGTCCCCACGACCTTAGTTTCCCAACTATGGTATCTTCAACATCTGTCACTTACCAACTATGGTCCCTTTGACTTAATTATGTCGCCCAATAACCATCAATTCGACCTCTGTCACCCGACTATAATTCCTCTGACCTCTATCACTTGACTACAATCACTTCGATCATAGTTGTTCAGTGACTAAGGTCCCTCTAACATTTGTTGCCTGACAATATTCCCTCCAATCTCTGTCGTCCAACTATAATCTTACTGACCAAATGAATGGACCAACGCTTTCTTAAGAGAAACCTCATGGCATTAAACATATTTATATAATGTGCTATATACGATGTAAATTTGCTATATTGAGCCAACGCCTTCCTCCAAGTAAATGCATCATTTGTAATCAACAATAAATATTAGTGAGTTTATTTCAACTGAGCAAAGTCCCGTTACTTTTCCTCTTTTCAAGATTTTATATTTAAGATTTTTTTTATATCTTTTATGGCTCTTACACCCCACTTTCTTATTTATGTGTTGTTGGATCTTCGTACGAATCTAAGATGCTAAACTCTATATCTTTCTACCACCGCAAAATGTTCTAGCACGCAACAAGTACCATACAAAAATTATGATATGTATGTAAATCTCTTCTTTATTTATGCGACCAATGTGAAGATGCCAATGATTGTTTGTTTTATATTTGATTGAATCATAAGTTCCTTGATGAAATCATTATTTTTGTTAAGCATTTTTTTAATGAATGTTAAAATATTCATAAAAAATAATTGTTTAACATTTGACCTCTTTTTAAATATCTTGTTGATGATTAGATGAATCGATGAGGCATTATTTTTCATGTGAAAGTTTTAGAAGAAACGTGTTACCATGGGGATTAGCCTAACCAAAACAATTCCAATGTATAATTTAAGATTACAAGTGGTCATCCTTCCTCATGTAATTGAAGAAAGTGTGATTTACAATATAAAGAGTGAACTTTGAGAGATGTCTTGTGCGGCAGTTTTATAAAAGGTACAAGAATGTTGAAGCTAATGGTGGTCATTATATGTTTGTGTGCTTAGGGCGACAATCTGTGTCAAGCGATGATGGGCATTATACGTTGGGCAATAGTGGGGATTGAAAATCAAGTGTCAACGGGTGTTTGATGACTAAACCAATGGGTGTACTCCTAAAAAAAGAGAGGAAATCCAACAACCAATCTAGCAAAAAAGAAGTCTCGAGAAAAAAAAAAGAAAAAGAGATAATTAACTATGTTTCATATGGTGATTGGAGCTCTAAAATCTTTTAATATGATAATTCTTTATAGCTAAAATATTGTCCAAAAATGTAAAATTAAACAACCCTACTTATATGAACGGATGTTTCAACTTTTTTATCAAATCTACTAAATCAAGGCCTCACATTGAATGGTCCAAATATAACCATACTCTAACTTGAAAAGTGATAGAATAGTCACACCTTAATTTGGAAAACCCCAATTGGCTTGCCTAAGCAAGAGTCTACTAGGGAGGCCTATAGAGATTGATGATAGTGATTTTATAATGGTCATCACCAATGAAGAATACAATCAACAAGCAAAGAGTACAATTTAGAATCTCTTGATGCTATGATCTGAATAAGTTAATGGATCTAAATTGTGATAATTAGATTTCCAAAAATAATTCTAAAAAAATGTAGAGATCAATTTTATCATTGTTAGAAATCAATAAACAAAAGCTACAATTTTATTATTAAAATATATGTCTTTCTCATATATAACAATACAATAGACAGTTGGCTCAAAAATTGATATTTCATAGTAATTTTGGAGGATTATTGAGCTCAAATTTGGGTCGTTGAAAACATAGAAGGTTGCCATTTTTAGGCTCTAAAACATGTAATTAATTCTCTTGCTTACAAATTATTATTTTAGTATTTAAGCGTCTTAATGATATCAAAATTGAGTGATATTGAGCTTGCTGAATTTTCTCATCAATATTCTCATTCTAACTGCAAGCATGAAAAACATTTGGCTTTTCAATCAATGTCATAAAATTTTGAAGTACACTTTAAGTGCATTGATTTGGGCTCATTTGAGCTCAGATTATGACATATTTGACGTCGTTTGATTTATCTCAACAATATATTTGATGCGAGTATAAATTTTGTGAAATCAGAGTTTAAACATTATTAAATTTAATTTTACAAGTTTTTAATTTAAATATTACATCGAGATTCATGTTTGATCGGATTGATTTTCTCATGTCATATTATTTATAAATATAAACAAATGAATTTGTAAACTGAGTAACAAACTTGTTTTTATTATGGCTACAAATAAAACATCGAATCGACTAGAGCTCATTCATGATTATTTAATTAATGAACCAAACAAGCTAGACCAGATTAATAAATGCTCCATTGATAAATAAACAAGTTTGATGAGCTTAGTGTTGATTCATTTATTATTATAAAAAACATCAGTGAATGCTCATGTATACATTATTTAATAACTTGATTGAAAATTCAATAATATGCTCATTTAAGACAAAATCTAAAAATTTATTTAATATGTGATTATGTGCAAGTTTTATTCTTCTTTGTATTATATTACTTTTATTCATGAACAAAAGTCAAATGGAAGTGTCATTTTAAGCTCAATAAGTTGCTCATTAATAGGCTCAATAAAGCTTATCAAGATAATATTACACTTTAATAGGCTCTATAATACTTATTTGATTAGCTAATGAGTCGATCTTAAATATACTTCAAATAGCCATAATATTAAAATAATTGAGCTTAAGCACTACAACAAATATTCAAATCGTGCTCAAGCTGTGCTCAAGCTTGAGCTCAATTTTAACAAATAATTCACTTGTAGGCCTAAGTTTTTATCATCGTACTATGACTCCTTTGCTCTCTTGTGTATCTATTATAACATTCACTGAGAAATTTGTTTGTGTAGTTAGGGTTTAGGCTATCTAGAAAACTCATTATTATTTGTCTTTTATTGTATTTAACTTAAATAATTTGTTGAAATTGGACTTAATTTTGTAAGACTTTTTATTTAGAGAGCTAAAAACAAATATAAATAATTTTCAACTCCATATTTATGTATATATAAAATTATGTACTTTATATGTACATGCATTTACTTGCACAAATTAAATAAACTGATATTATAAACTAAAAAATATACATAATTTGTCTTAATTTTTAAAATAAACTTAGACGGTAATGAGCTTAGTACATTATAATCGTCGCTAAGGGGCTGTTTGGTATCGGATTTTCAGCGAGATTTAAGTCGGATTTACGCTAAATCCAGCCAAACAGTTTTTGTGCGCGCGTTAAATCCCGGGATTCAGTAAATCCCGGATTTACGGATTTACAACTTAAATTCGGGATTTAGTAAATCCGAGAGGTAGTCGGATTTATTAAATCCGAGCGGGATTTATCCGAAGAAGCGCGCGAAGGGAGAAAGTTACCTTCACAGCCAGCGAGCTTCCGTTCTTGCTTCCGATCAAAATGTCGTAACTTCTGATCCGGGTTGAAGTCGTCGCAGGAGCGAAGTCGAACAGCCACAAAGGAGCCGAAGAAGCGACGC